TCCTTGGATGCTCGACTCTTGTATATTTCTTGGAAGACAAGGGTAGTTTTGTACTTTTGGTGTTTTATCCATGTAAAAGGAATACATGGATAAGTTATTCCCATGGTGGAGCCAAGATTTGAAGATTATGGGTTTGGTTTCTAGTCTTTTTAAGTTATTGAGTTCTAAATTAATACTTGTTCATGCATCCATTTTGTCAATGAATGATGAGCTCTGATGTTCAATTCTCAGCAGAGGCGAAAAATACTAGGTGGTTCTTCTCATCTATCCTAACTTTGGTGGATAGATTACCAGGCACCTGTGTTGGTGGGAGGTAGCAAAAATTCCTTAGAATTAAATTAGTTGAGGTGATGCTAGTTGGTCCAAATACCACGATTAAAAAAAAAACAATAATAATACTTGTACATATTTAATAAATCTTTTACGACAAATAGAGTGTTTGGACCAAAGTTACTGTGTTCGACATAATTTGCAGCTATGCTTTAGGTCCGTCCTTGGTTATTCCATGTTGGTAATGGCGTAAAATAGTTCTCCAATTGGTGTATTAAGTTATACGAGAATTAGTTATACATGATTCAAAATACAAATCTAAACTTTTAAAAAAATTTATACCACGATTATTTTATTAGTCCTTCAAACCATTCAAACCAAACTACCTTTGAGAAGTTGGATTAATATTCTGCATTATTGTATATAGGGTGCTGAGATTAGTTATTTTAATCATAGTTTGATTATTATAGTGCTAAACTTGTACATGTTTCGGCATTTTCAATTTTTTAATAAATTGTGCACTTCACTTCAAAAAAGTGTGTGCTTCATTTAGCACTTTTCAATTTTAGCCCTAGGACCTAGTCAATGGTTTGCGCTTTTAGTTTTTAGAATACATTGCCAAATACAATGTTTGGACCAAAGCTACTAGTTCGGGCAAACTCGTACGTATCCATCCTTGGTTATTCCATGTTGGTGGTGTAAAATATTTCACCAATTGGTGTATCAAGTTATTCCAGGATTAGTTATACATGATTGAAAATACAAATCAAACATGGAAAAAACTTAATACCATCAGTCTTTCAAATCAAATGACCCCTAAGGAGTTGGATTCATATTCGGCGTTATTGTATTTAGGATACTGGAGTTAATTATTTTAATCAAAATTTGATGATTGTAGATTTATAATACTAAATTCATATACATTTGAGCCCTTTTATTTTTTTTCGCAAATTGTGCACTTCACTTCAAAAAGCATATGCTTCATTTAGAGCTTTTCACTTTAAGACTTAGGGACCTTGTCAATGTTTTTTGCTTTTAGCTTTAACATTGTTTTTGAGGTAATTGGCACCATTTTGATTGATGTTGGAGCTCCTTATAGTGAGAAAAATAGTGAGTACTTTAGTGGTGGTTCAAGGTGGGTATTGAATAGAATCTTTGTATGCCTAGACACTTGATGATGTATTTGTTAATTCACAAAAATATATGCATAAATTGTATTTAATTGTCTCGCTTATACTATCCTCCCTAAGCTTGCATAGCTTGTTATAACCCAAGTGTTCCTTTTACAGATAATAATGATTTTTCAACTACTACAAGTAAACAGGAGTCCAGCTTTGTTAAGGAAAAAATATTGGCCAAGAGCAATACTAATAATGCAGAGGTTAAGAATGAGAGTCAGACACAAGCTTGGATATTGTTTGTATTCATTAGCTATTGCTGAAATAGATGCTGACTGATTGTTAGCATGTTGGATGTATCACAGGGAAACAAGTGGACTCAGATAGCTGCATTTGTCAGAACTGAAATCTCCAGAGTTAAACAAGATGATCTTGTAGATGGTAAATAGTTTGTTTGCATCATGGTATTTTTTGAGTGCCTCACAGATGTATGAATAACTAGATATATTTTTTTCCAAGCAGATGATCGTTCCAAGTTTCATACACCTGCTATTTTGGCCAGAAGGGTACTCTAATTATTAGCCACTTTATACTTGCATTTACTTTTGTTGCACTTCTGCTATCAGCAAAGAGAGAGATTGATTGATTTGAAGTGCTTAGATTCACTCACTCTCTCTCTCCCTCCTACCTTCTCCCTACCTTTGTCTACCTCAGCTATTTGTGTTATTATAGTTTTTCAAGTGCTGTGCAGCAATTGAGAGAGAGGAGACGTGAAAAGCGTGCTGCTGCTTTAGTGAAACAGGACGATGAAGTAACTGTGAAGCTTGAAAATGCTGCCCTTGAACGCTCTAAATCAGTTGACTCTGCTGTGCTGGGGAAGTATAGCATATGGAGGAAAGAGAATGAAAATGAGAATACTGATTCAAAGGTACACTTGATGCGAGACCAAATTATTATGGCAAGGGTCTATATAAGCATTGCAACGATGAAGAAGAAGCCTGGCTTGGCTCAAGAGTTACAGAAGCAGCTTAAAGAAAGTCGACATGCGTTAGGTGAAGCAATGTATGATGCTGATCTAACTCGCAGGTACCAAATTCTTTTTGACTTTTGGATACTTGACATTGTCCATATGTCCTTGTTTCGTATAGGAAAGATTAAATCATTTCATTCCCCTATGTTCAAATAGTGCGCATGAGAAGATTAAATCAATGGACCAAGTGCTTTCCAAAGCTAAAGAGCAACTCTATGACTGTAAGCTTGTCACAGGGAAGCTGAGAGCAATACTGCAGTCTGCGGATGAGCAAGTTAGAAGTTTAAAGAGGCAGAGCACATTTTTGAGCCAATTAGCTGCAAAGACCATTCCGAATGGTATCCACTGCTTATCCATGCGTCTGGCTATTGATTATTACCTCCTCCCTCCTGAAAAAAGAAAGTTCCCTAGAAGTGAGAATCTGGAAAATCCCAGTCTTTTCCATTATGCCCTGTTCTCTGACAATGTTTTGGCTGCTTCAGTAGTTGTCAACTCAACTATCAAGAATGCTAAGGTGAGGAATTCTTTCTGACATTATTCAGGCCATCATCCTACTATGCATGTGTGAGAGACTTTCTATATTCTTCTGTATCACTTGACGATGTCCCTAATCCTTGATAACAATCACAAACCTTATATTTATGCGTGGTAAAAATAACATACACTTTGAACTTTGATATATCTAAATGTCTTGAATGGTGCTGATAGTTACTTCACCAGAAAGCATGTTGGCTACATATTAGAAGCTAATTTTGGATGGGCTATTGAAAAAAAAATTCCACTGATCTACTTGCAGGACCCAGCGAAACATGTATTTCATCTTGTCACTGATAAGTTGAACTTTGGAGCTATGAATATGTGGTTCTTGTTGAACCCTCCTGGAAAAGCTACAATCCATGTTGAAAATGTTGACGAGTTCAAGTGGCTTAATTCGTCATACTGCCCTGTCCTGCGGCAGCTAGAGTCTGCTGCTATGAAGGAATATTATTTCAAGGGTTCACATTCCACCACACTTTCAGCTGGTTCTTCTAATTTGAAGTATCGGAACCCCAAATACCTTTCAATGCTCAATCACCTCAGATTTTATCTCCCTCAGATTTATCCCAAATTGGATAAAATTCTTTTTCTTGATGACGATATTGTTGTTCAGAAAGACTTGACAGGACTGTGGTCGGTGAATCTTCATGAAAAAGTGAATGGTGCTGTTGAAACATGTGGTGAGAGTTTTCACCGTTTTGACAAGTATCTAAATTTCTCAAATCCTCATATTGCCAAAAACTTTGACCCAAATGCTTGTGGGTGGGCATATGGGATGAACATTTTTGATCTTAAGGAGTGGAAGAAGAGAGACATAACTGGTATATATCACAAGTGGCAAAACATGGTAAGGAATTTACTGCCTTTCCATCTCTGATATATAGCTTTTCTTTACTGTTTTGGTCCCTCTACGCTTATTTTCATAAGTGAAGTTAACTTTTAGTCTTTTACTTCGACTCAGAATACTTGGATTATATCATTTGTTACTTTATACCAATATAGTGATTGAATACATGTACTGAAATTTGGAAGTCTGCTTTTCTCCCAGTACCATGCCAAATACATAGAGAAAACCTTAATTTCCATGGGATCTTACTGACTAATTTTCATTCCTTTTTGCCTTGATCATTAGAATGAAGACAGGGTCCTTTGGAAACTAGGGACACTACCTCCAGGGCTAATGACATTTTATGGTCTTACACATCCACTGGATAAGTCGTGGCATGTTCTAGGTTTGGGTTACAGCCCAAGCATTGATGGGTCAGAAATTGAGAAGGCTGCTGTGATACACTACAACGGGAACATGAAACCATGGCTAGAGTTGGCTATGACAAAGTACAAGTCATACTGGACCAAATACATTAAGTTTGATCATCCATACATTCGCACCTGCAAACTTGGTGAATGAAGGTTTCTGCTCTACACACGCATAGTCACGTTTCCATGATCTTCTAATGACAGAAGAGCTCCCATATACAGCTATTCTCTTGTCTCCAGTATGCAACATCCCCTGAATCGCTTATTCTTTGCTGTGTTCACTCTTATATTCATTGTTCGATTCTGATATCTGCTGCCTTTTTCACTAGTAACCGACCTTTTTCAGCATGGAAATGTATAACTAGGGTGAAGGGAAGCTTGTAATGTCCTGAATCACAGTATATTCTTTGAACAATAACTAGCATCTATTGTTTGAATTCTGCAGTTGAAGAAATACAATTTCTCTTATGTTGCGATGCTTGTCGCCAGTCTAACTGCCACCAATTTGTTTAATTTCATTTTTTAACATCTATGATAATGATTGATCATTTTGAATTTGATAGTTTCATGTTACAAGTGCATTTTAATGTTCATGTTTCTAAAGTTACTTTTGCATGTCGTTTATATTACTAATAATATTGTTGTTCATGTTCAATCCTCTTTGTACCCCGACGTTCTGAATTCATTTATGGCTTATAGGATGACATGTTAAAGTAATAATATGATTGAGAAGTTAAAATAAGAAAGTGATTTATCAAAGTCCAAAATGAGATTGTACTAACATAAAATAGAAGACAAATATTTGACTCTATCAAGTTGTAATATTGTTACCAACATAAAATGAGACGATCTCCTATGATCATTTACAAATACATATATGTGCTAACATAAGACAGAAATATGTATCGAAGTAAGGAGCCTAGTTGAGATTGAGAAGTTGTAGTTTGCATCAACAGATTAATTTCCATCTTTAGAAATAAGCATCATTGAATCAATCAACATATGGTATCCAAACACTAAGATCTAACTCATAAAAAAAAACAACTAATCATTATTGAAAATCTATATAGGGACTGCTGTATATACAGGATATTATTAATCTTGATTAACAACACTTGGAGGAGAGTGAGAGTCACTTTTCTTGTGATTGGTTGACTGTCCTGTGAAGGTTCTTCCCATAAACTTTTTGGTTTTGCTTAGTCCACTTCTTACTACCCTTACACCAGCACCTAATCCTGCACCAATGCCACTTCCTGCCGCGCCAACACCTGAAGCAGCTAAAGCTGCTGCACCATCAAGGGCTTCCATTGAGCTTCCAATAACCCCTTCTGCTTTTAGTTTCTTCCTTTCTTCTATGATCCTCTTCTCTTCCTCCAGAGCTGCTAATTGATCTTTCTTGTTGAATTCATGATACAGTATCTGCATTTTTGACAACGTAACCATCATCTTGCCTTGAAGTTTAATCAGTTCAATCTATGACTCATCTCGAAAATACTAGGTTCAATTGAACACAATCATTTGCGTCTGTGCTTTGGGGTGGAAACCAAGTATAGATGGAGCTATACACATTTCAAAACTACTTTCGCAACTCAGATTCATAATGTTTACATTGTAGATCAGTGACTGCCTTAAAAGGGGAGAATACCAAAGTAAAAAAAAAAAAGTTTCATAACAAAAATGGGACTTCATGACAAAAACTATGATTTTTGGCGTGTACCTTGATGGTAATAGTTCCTCTATCCTTTTTATCTTTGATTTTGAGCATATCATATTTTGGCAGCAACCTTAATTCAATTTCTTTTGGAGTGTCGGATTCAAGCTCATTCAGAGACAACTTTGTGACACCCATTCGATCATCTTCTCCAATGTCTTCATCAAAAACCTGTTCACAGTCATGGTTGTGACAAGAAAATAAGAATGCAATCAAAGAGGCTGGATTGTCAAAACTAATTTTCTCAAGAGAATGTATAACCATGGAGAAAATATGTTCTAGATAGAGTAGATTCAATATAAAATAAAAAATAAAAAATGAGAGATGGATGTAGCAATTAAACCTCTAGGAGAAGAGACTGAGTCTCCTTGTCTTCTGCAATCAACTCAAATGTCTCATCCCAAACAGGATTTAGGTTGTTGTCAATGGTTTTTGTCTTAAACTTAAACAGCGGACGAATATACACGACCACATATGGGTCAGATTTTCCAATCATTTCTTGGTTCTTTAAGTTTGTAGCCCTCATTACAGTTACAGTTAGTTTCCCCTGTGGCTTAAGCTCCAAATCGCTGCATGACACCATAAACAACGGTTAAGTATTCCGTTAGAAGACCTAGATTTTACATTCAGAAGGATATGACAGATTTGGAAAGGCCTTGAGGCCATTCAATTGGTACCTTGTATCCACAGGTACGCCTCCAATTGGTACAACGATTCTGTGAGGCCATTCTAGCATATCTGTTACAATTGAATTTACAGTGTCCTTTCAATGAGAAACACACCAGTGTTAGATTGAGGTGGGGAAGTTTGAAATATAAAATATACTGCTAAAGGCACATTGTTAGTAGTACTTACTTCTATCATGTCAGAAAGTCCAGGAAGAGCTGTTAAGCTTCCACCAACAGCTTTTAAAGTATAATCAATTCTTGGCTTTGGCTGGTTGGATAAACAAGGTACCAGTCATTCAAATGTCCAATTGAACATATAAAACAGAGTCGTAAACCAATTGAGAGTTGAGATGTTTGAGTAAGATTAAGCATCCAGAGTAATATAACTAAGTGCAAGTTCACACTTCTATTCTTGTTCTTGGAAACAATTTGAGTACACCTGTCAGACCAATTCATGCAGTGTATATCCTTGTTCTCATACTGTAGTCACGTTCTGTGTTAGTAGAATATTTCATGTTCACTTAAACCAAGAGAATGTCTTAGACCTACTTTAAGGTGGTCTTTTACTCCCTGGCAATCATAGCATATCCTAGTTACAAGTCAAGTTACACGATTTTCCATCTAAAACCAAGACATTATGGCATTCAAATCTATGGTCTAACATCTCATTGAAGATACTATTTTATCAAAACACAGTTCAAAGGAACTCTAAATGCTGAATTACGACAGATCATGCGAAATAGCAGCCACAATTAAAAATAAAAGGAGAGCAAAAGGAAGAGTTAGAAACAACAGAAACTGAAGAATGTAACAAACATATGTTTCTCATAGAATCTATGTATACCTCAGAAAGTAAAGCAACAACAACAGCAGAAATGCAGGGAATTTCCTCAGCTAGTTGGAATATAACACGTATAACAGTGAAGACTTGTAAATCTTTCAACTGCAACCAATTTGGCAAAGGTCAGTGCAGCTGCTTCCTAGATAACTCACTAATCAGAGTAAAATTGTCCTCAGCAAATTAGACAGGTGAAGAGTTGAGGCACCCAACCTGAATGGGTATAGAGGCAACCACTGCATCAACTTCTATAACAATATTAGGATCACCGCCCCATCTGAGGTCAATATCCATAATAATTTGACCCTTTTTAAGATTTTGAACTCGAATACCTGCATAATTAGGTATTATACATGCTTCCAATGAGAGAATCACACATGATTAAAGTTTAATGTTTGAGGTAACCTTAAACAACAAGACTTCATCGTTACCAAAGAAATGTTCCATCTAGAGAAACTAATTTAATTGCTCAGGAGTATGAATTAATTAGCATCGGAGAAATCACTAAGGAATTGCTTATAGATTCTCCGGTAGAAGGTCTAATAAAAAAGAACATAACAATTTATTCGATAGTTTTATGTTGCTACCTTCAATCTTAGGAGCTACAGTTCCCAAGGACAGTTTGCTGAACTTCATTGACGAAATTCCAGGAGGTCGATAATCTTCTAATATAGGTTCAACAGAGTCTTTTATGATAGCTTCTCCTGCCTGCACAATGACATACATCAGAGATCAGATTTATGGTGTCACAACATGGAGATTGAATAATACGAACACTCGCTACCACAACAAGGAGACTACATATTTTGCTGGTCAAACAGACTACATATGTTAAAGATCAGTGTCATAAATTTCTTGTGCACGCTATCAGTTCTTATAGGAACAAGTTCTCTAATACTCAAGAATCAATAGAATACAAATTGAAAGATCTCTAAAGTGGAGAAAATATTACGGATCATTACTTATTAGAAGAGACATTTTTACTCAATATGCTGATAATCAAAGTGAACTTCCAATATAATTAAGTACTTCATACCTATAAAGTTACAAAGAAAAATAAATGCATAGAATACCAAAGTTAGGTGTAAAAGCTTACATCAGCAACAAATGGCCACAGTTTGCTTAATTGTTTGTTCAACCATTTGACCTGTCACAGTGAGACAAATATGAGAAAGATCCACTGCTGACAGTGTAAGATCAGGAGACAACATCTGCAATGTCTTTCTTGGGTTCTAACATTATGTTCATGAACTAAAGTTATCTTACTTCCCTCTGAAAACATTTTTAGTGTCTACAGAATAGAGATGAAACATTTATGCAACTGAGAAAAGGATTAACCAAATCTTTCTATTCATGACAACGATGATAAGACTCTCTTAATCAAGTGTGGTAGGAGAAAAGACATCCCTACAAGTTGCATTGGAATAATTAACAGGAGTGTGCATGTTGATCTCTTATATCTGTTAAATTTAAGATATAGGAAGATTTCACTGATCTGGTTTTGAAATATGATTGGGTTAATGACACAATAGGCTCTTCTGTCAAGGTGTTAAAAACATCCATTCACAATGAAACAGATTTCTTGTCTTAAATATTGCCTCAAAATGTTCAATGAGACATTCTAGAGTTAAATTAGTCAGTATTGTTGGTAAAAGTCATAACAAAAGATGACAGACTAGAAGATTTTCAGAGCTATGAAATTCAAAGATCATATGCAGGAGAAACAGGAAAAAGTAAGGCTAATATCCAACCTGTTCAAAGACTGGGAATGATATCCATTCAGGGAACTTATCTCCACATATTTTCTTTAGATCATCCCTGTTCAGGGAGGCCATTAGTTTTACATCCACTGCCTGTTAAAAGGATTAAAATACAATGAAGAGATAAATACCAATCTTTCAGAAAGGAAAGCAACATGCATATCTGCAATTTAAATTTTCTGTTCAACAAGCATGATGAGGATCATCTTATGAATTTCAACATCTACTTTCAAAGTAACCACAGTCGCCAGTTCTTGTAGCAAAACCACATAGGGAGTTAGAAGCTGGACTATCAATACAATGGAGTAAACAAGAGAATCAAGCAGAAAAATAGTCACCAAGTCCAACCAGCAACAGAAGTGAATAGCTGTTCAATTAAGAAAATTTTCACTGGAGTCTACCCACATCACAATAATTTGAGATAAGATCGATATACATGTGCTGAGTCTGAGAAATCTATCCTGGTTATATTTAATTTTTACTAGCAACTTTAGATTGTACATGGATTCCCAAAGATCCTCAATATACTAATTGACAATCCAAACTTCAAAACTGAAATTGTTTCACAGCTGTCCTCGTCAATTTATGTTCTACTAGACTCCTGACTACAGGGGCGGAGCCAAGTAGGATCGAGGGGTTTATACATGGTTAAAATCATTTTATAATATATATATAGAGATGTTGTACCCCTTTCAGCTTCTTTATGTGTATACTTTTGTTCATATTTTGAGTTGCTTTGTGAAAATCCTGCTCCGCTACTACACGTGAGACTTCATATTTGTGTGTTTGTATTTTCTTTTAGCAATGCACTAGTCCATCAGAAGTACCAACTTGAATTTAATTCCAAAAACAGTCTCAAAATCAAAAAATTATTTGGAGCCATGTTTTCGCTTAAGCAATGCACTATCCCGTCATAATTACCAAACTTGAACTCCAAATTCAAAAACACACCCCCGAAAATCATTTCAAATTGAGCCTTGACAACACTAAACTATTTACGAACAAAGTTGAGATTACGATAATCCAATGGAAACCAACAGAAATTGATGAAATTCTTACCTTGGCGACTCGTTTGCGGCTTCGATACCTCATCATATGTTGCCAACCTGCCATTATACCGATCCCGAACATCATCCCCAACATAATCCCCGAAATCAAACCCATTTTATATATATAAAAAAAATAACAAATTAAATTTTTCCGTAAATACAAAAGATCAGAGAATGCAAAAATCAAAGAAAAATCAACAAGAAAAAAAAAGTAATTCAACTGTTGTGATTCTAAATCAATTTTTTTTTTTTGGATTGGGAGCTGAAAATGGAAGACACGAGCCAAAAATTCGAAAGGTGGTTGAGGGAGTTAGTTAGTTAGGGGGGTAAAATTGTCAGTTACGTTTTAAAATTGGATGAGCTGGAAATTCTGTTAAAAATAAAAGTCTTGTATCATTTTTTCTTTTATCAACTCGAGACAGAGACGGAATTTTTAATGCATAAGTTTTGGATTTATAATTTTTTTGGCAAAGGCTCAAATATATCATCAAAGACTCATCTATGTTATTTCTATTTGAAAAAAAAAGTTATTCATGTCATTGTTTGTTAACTAAAATGATTTTCTTTTTACATGTGATCAATTATGATTTGTCTACGTTAGTAATTAAATCATTTTTTTTAAGAAAAAAAGTTCAAATGTGTCATTGAATTTTTAAAGAAATAAACTTATCTATGTCATTCATTTAAAGATTGACTCATTTCTGTTATTTCAATTAACAAAATATGTTTAATGTACAAAAATATCATATAATCAATCTTGCATCCACATCCTAAACATATCATGTGAAAATATTGAAATTAAATAATCATCAAATTAAAAAAAAAACATTCTTTTTTAAACAGATGAAACAGTTTTCTCTCCGGGCATCCCAAGAAAATTAAAATAAAACAAAAGGTAACATCCACTTCCCTTACATTTTGGTTTTAAAAAACTAGACAAAAGAAGAAGAAAAAAAACACCCTCTTTCCTTTCTTGACAAATGTATACAAAGAGTTTGTCCTTTACCCAAAAACAAAACCAATCAGGGTAGCCAATGAGTTTGTGCAACAGTTAGTAACAGAACAACAAATCGTATGATTGTTTGATTCTAAGTAGTACATGCCCTTCACTCTAACAGAAATGACTACATTGTGACCTCTCAACAATACACGATATTTCCATAAGTGAGGTTCAGAGAGGGTGACATGTATGCAAGGGTACCCCCTACCTTGTGAAGACAGACAGGTGATTTCCGAAAAATAAGAGATATTAACAATAATTTGCACCATGCTAATCAAGATGATCAAGCATCATATCCATCTTCCAGAAGAAAATCCTATTTTCTTTGAAGGAATGGCTAATCCCAGCTCTTTACATTGCTCTTCATCCGGTTGTGAACCCAGAAATCCAGTCCCCATGAAATGTACCGATGCTGATGCATCCTCAAGTTTTCTATTCAAACTAAAAGATGTGGAGAGAAATGATTTTGAACTAGTCTTTGATGTTTTCTTTACTGGCACGACGTCCAGCTGTGCTGATTTCAGAAATCGCTCAGTTGCTGCTTCCCAAGAAAGTTCATGCCTCTGTTTATCGGCCAGTGGAGAAGGCTCGTCAGACAATGCCTCGAGTGTAGCTTTAACAAAACCTTTACCATCATCATATGTTCTGCAATTTTGGAACTGCATGAAAAACTCATTTGATGGATGGTTGGAGCATACAACTATTTTGCCCATAGCTAGTGCTTCAGCTGTGGTCGTACAAACTACATCCGTGGTGCTTGGATTCAGAAGCACTTTATAACTGAAACCAAACAAAAAAGAACAATAAACACAAAACGTCATATTTGTTAATGATATGAGAATGAAAAACAACACCTACAATCCAAGTACTTTAACTCAGCGTCTCTAATGCTTCAGTCAGCAAAACAGATTTGTGTTAAAACATGAAACTAACACAAATCAAGGTACTTGGCACATGTAAAGAAAGAACAAGATAAACAATCTGTTATCACTGCATTAATTGTCCCATGAACATATTTGTTTTAAAAGAGAATGCCTTAGGAGTTCCTAAATATGCCACTTTCCTCAAAAAGAAAATATCCAGGATTTCTTTCATTTAAACTTTGAAATATCCAGTGAGACATGAAGCCATTTAAGATCAATTATATTCTTCATCATGATAAAGAGTAAACATGGCCTTCTCAGTCTGTTTCAAACTGTCACAAAAATTGGGAGTCACTAAATCTCTTGGCATATATTCATTTCAATATGTGCATATACCAACGACGCATCTCTCTCTCTCTCTCTCTCAATAAAAATGGACTTTGCACATTTAATCAAAATATAGAGTGCTAATAATAACAACAAAAACCAAATCAAGAAGAAATTCAAAACCCGTTATGTTCATGAAAGGACCTCTTGAAACCCATCAAATCTCTTAATATATGTTCGTTCAAATTCAAATGTGCATAGACAAGAAACGTGTCTCTCTCTCCATAAAGTGGGTAAAAAACCTAAAATAGAATCAATACCAATAGCAGCAAAATCCAAATCAAGAACAGTAAAAGTTCAGAACCCGCTTAGGTTCATGAAAGAACTTCTTGGATCCATAACATATGCACATCGACTACTTTGTTAGGTTCCTATTTGCACTTCAATATTCCTCTGAATCCTGAAAAGTGGAAGTGATTCAAATTGGGAGCCTTCATGTGTCTACTCGTGTTAGTTATTCTGCAGCTTCCAGCTTTTATACCTTGTATAGCTTAAATGGGTTCTAGAAGTGATTACCAGTTCCCCACAAGTTCTCTCCTTTGGTTAATTACTAGGTTTTCAAGTCAATAAATGTTGCGTCTTCTGTTATGCTTTTGTCAATATAAGAATGCAACCTTAGTTCTTCCATCAACCCTACAGCACCAAAGAAGACAAAAAAGGAGGAAAAAACATCATAGTTCCTCTACTTCGTATCAACCCTCCAACCACTCCCTGATCTTCTTCCTTCTTTATTATTTCTTAAGTGGCAACCTATTAGCTCATAAGCAAGAAACATGACGAAGAGGCTGTTGCATCATACAACATTTGGTCGTACGAGGTCACCATTCATCCAATGCAGTTATCTGCAGTGACAAGCATCGGGGATCAGATGCGGGTGAATTTTGCTAATAGCTGAGATGTCCAGTCACCTTCAGACTTTTGAGCCTCCAGCTTTCTGAATTGAGATCTTATCATTTCAACAATGGACAAGGAGCATCTCACTGTACAACCACAAGTAGCAACCAAGAGTACCTGCGATTAACTAGTTCTGATCCGCTTATACAAGACAACTGACAACTGGAATCCCAGCAGTCAAACCAAAGAGGTCGCTCCTCTACCTCGTTCCAATCAAATCTAGCTAAGGTGTCCCAGGCAAGGGTAGAAATGAGGGATTGATCAACTAACTAGAATAGATCTATATAATATTTCCAAATGTCCTAAATTATTTTGACTTATTTTTCAAAAGCCCAAATTCATTCTCACTCGACTATAGTATCGGTGTCTTGGCATCTTTGGTTACTAAGATGTTTCAATTTTCTAAGTTTCACCAGTCCAAGGAGAAACTAGTCTAGGAGCTTGGATACAGTTACAATCCGATTTATGCACAACCTTTGAGCTTTGTTTTTCTTCACCAATTCTCCATTTTTCCTTTCTTTCTTTTGGTGTGCAGGGTGGGGTTAGTGCCAGATGCTGGGTACTTAGGAACATCACATTTTGTATGCGGATAACACAGACTCCAGGGAAGAAGTAAATTTCCTATTCTATCAATGCGAGTTTCTCATTACTTAACTGGCATTGAGCTGAGAACACAGTTACTTCTTTCAATGATTTCAAACCCATCCCAAAGTTGGTTTATTCAGAAAGAGAAGTAAGCAGATCCTACCTATCTATATCCCACACTAATACACTACCTTTAGAAGACAATTCAGACCTGAAATTGATTATACCAGTCAAATTGTGTTCCTCACAAACTGTACAACCAGCTGCTGCATTTTTCCAATCATACACTATTTTCATCCCATAGTTGAATGTCCATCTCAGTCTGGAGTTGACACCATTATTAAGATGAGAATCCAAAAGGTGTTCCTTCTAGTTAACTGATGAGACACGGAGGCTGACAAGTTGAAATCTTTTTTTTTTGAGAATTTTGAAGGGGAACCTGCTACCTCCCACCAGCACAGATACGGGGCACCGTAAACAAGTAGAGTTTTAACATAGAAAAAGAAATTTGTTCTATTAAAAAGTAAAAAAGAGATGCACCAATTGTGCAACAAAGGAAGTGTGTCTAATCGAACACAAGGAGAATAGCTTTAAAGAAAGAAAAAGGTTTTGAAAACTTGTTCTACTTCACTGGTATTCTGAAGTTGAGTTGTTTTTACCTATTCCTGAGTGTTAACACTGTCTGATACCACAACTAAGAGTTGAATGGGACGGGGCAAGATTGGACCACAGTACTGCCAATTCTACAATTGCTATAGTGAAGACGTAGCCAAAGAATAAAAAGTACTAAGATAAATATACATTTCATATAATCTTAAATATCATGTATAGATAAATTGTATTATTTTCTTAAGTGTGGAAAACGTAAGGAAGAGACATTTAGGATGGTCGGATAATGGGAAAGTACAACCACACCAAGCCTAAAGCTCTTAAATTGTGTACATAACTCCAGATAGAAAGATACTCATGGCATTCTGTTGTTATCTCCTTATATATGTATACATATACATATATATACACATATATATATATACATATATATATATATATACACACATATATATATATACATATATATATATATACATATACATATACATACATACATACATATATATATATATATATATATATATATATATAAAATTGACATTATAAGTATTTACTAGGTGAATGAGTGGCTCAACATTTTTTAATCAAGTCGTCCCATCTCCATACATAATGGTATCCTCCCTTTACACCAAAAAGGCGTTTGAATAGATACAGTAGATGCATACTCATCACCCACAATGGAAAAAATACACCAGTAACCCCTCAGATATATAACATGAGTGAAGGAGAAGTTTGACACTTGACAGTAGTAGTTAGCTTCCGAAGGAACTTACTTGTGAAATAAAGGATCAGCATGATCACGCGCAGGATGAACCCTAACCGTCAATTCCAACTTCTTAAAAGCCACCTCAATTTGAGCAGAATCCTCACCACTACCGTATAAATCTATCTCCAATCCAGCAAGTTCTTTTTGATGATCACGTAAGAGTCTAAGTAGCTCCTTGTAGCCTTTACTCCACAACATCTTACCAATGTAGTAGACACCTTTGCTGAAAGTTTGGTTATCATTTTGCTGTTTCTCTATTGCTTTCATCCCAATCTGAAGAAACTTTGGATTGACTCCGTGCACATTACAGACCAGGGATCTTGGGAGATCCTGGGTGGCAGCAGATAACCTGATGACCTGCCAGAGCAAGAAAATGCAACTATTTGAGACATTTCATATCAAGTAG